TAGGGATTTGTCGGTAAGTTTTTTTGACCCGTTAGCTTGAATTTTGTTGTGAAGATGATACCTTGCTCTGATTATGTTCATCATATGACGGACGAAAGCCTAGCACCTTTTCACCGGAATCGAAGGAGATTGCCTCGGAAACAGCGTCAGCATGAATGTTCCAGTAAAGCCAAGCGACAGCTGGTCGAGAGGAATCCGCCGTCGTCTTCTGGTGGAACCGACCTTCGAATCTCTTCACCCAACACTTTCGCTCGAAATGGAAGTTAGCTCAACATTTATAAAACAAGTGATTCCTTGAAATCCAACTTTTCTTCGCAAATTCATTAAGTTCTCTTTGTGTTTCTTTGGCTCTGGCGATTCGACCAAAACCCGATCTGTTGTTAGGAGAGTAAGCTGCGAGGGAAATTATTCCAGTATCCTCAACGATCCCGAACTGGGATGAACCCACTGTTAAGAAAAAAAGAGAAGTAACTAGTTCTTGAATTCATCCTACCATCAAATCACAAGCATGCTTAGCAATGGAAACACATTGCTTGTCTGCTTGACTTTGCAGCAGAGCAGAAGTGGAACTGGTTGCTCAGAGGACCCGTATTGCAAGCCGGCTTATAGTTACGATCCAATCTGAAAATTAACACCCTTTGAAGTATAAGAAAACATAAAATACTTTTTATCAATATCGCGGGTAAATTCGCTTAACGAGAAACCGAAGGAGGCTTATGCTGGATTTGTGACCTCTGGATTGTGTGAAGAAGACCTCGGCTCATCGTCCTCTGACTTCGATCCATATGTGCTGATATTTATCCGTCTTGTCATAGACTTCATCATATATATGAACTGTATTCACCCTATTTCGTTTAAGATGATCAAAGTTTGCTACTTGAATTTTCCCACAATCATATGAATAGAGCTAATGTTTCCATTGAATTTCATATAGCCTTGCTTTCGCAAAAGTTGTTCTCATCCAGACACCAGTGGACTGCAGTTTCGACCTAGCATCGGTCTTATCAACACCCCCAGTGGGAGTCGAACCTTGACAGTTCAGCATGTGAGCTTGACACGTTGATCAGCCGGGCACATTGCCACGAATGCCCTTGGGCCACAGGGCGGATATGAATTTCAATTAAGGCCAGACCTTTTGCCATATCATATTCTATGGTGGGATTGCCGATAAAGCAAACTTATATTTGCTATAGCACTCGACGACATTACTCTTTTCGTACCTGATCAAAGACTGTTAGTTGAATTTTCCCACCTTTTTCGTCAACTTTAAGGAAATATACGAAGAAAATGCCGTTTTCGATTAATCTCCTGAGATAAGATTGATGTGAAGTCTTTCATTTCGTATGGAAGTACAGGAGGAGGAGATTCGTAGGTCAATCTCGCAAGATGACGTCGGCTGATTCGCGTTGTACTGCAGCCGTTTGGCCTTAATAATTAATCTTCTTAACTTAGTGTTGAGGTTTTGCAAAATGAGTCCCAGCTCTTTCGATGCTCGTCAAGTGGCTTGACGAACAAGAGCTCAATCCGTCTTCTCCCAAAACGTTTGAGGATGTCTCGTAGACAGCATCAACCTGAACGTCGTATTATGGCCAAACGGCTGCAGTAGAACGCGAATCAGCCGTCGTCTTCTGGTGAGATTGAGCGACGAACCTCTTCATCATGTACTTCCATGCGAAACTAAAGTCTTCACATTAAATGAAATAGGGTGAATATATCTCACATATATGATTTACTGGTTGTCTAGGAAACCTCATGAGACATGATTTAATTGAGACCATCAGTTTCATGATCTAATTTAGTTTGTAAAGCACTGTTTTCCAGTAGCAAACACCAAAAATTCGTAAGAATAAGGAAAAGCATGTATGTCACGGCTTTTTGAGAATTCGTTCGTTTTAGAAAGTGAGATTCAGCTGAGAAGAAGGCTTAGCTACAGTAAGTAAATGGCCTTAAAATGTTCCTATACATTTGTAAACTTGGACAGACGTAACTTACAAACATGCATTCAAGGACATTCGTTCTATCGTCCAACTTGGGGCTAAAATTTCCCTCAACAACTCATTTTACTGGTCAGTCTTTTCGACTTGAGGTTGTTGAAAAAATGTATCCAGAATGTGTATTAAGGGACAAAATTCTGACTAAAGTCATAAGCAAGACTGTGCCATTTGGACGATTCCGTCCCCAGGGGCGAGGTAACCAAGCGGACCATACAAGCACTTCTTCGGCATCTCGCGAAGCGAATCAGCGATCCTTATCATCGCATATTTTCACAAATGAAAAGGGTCCTTAAATGAACTCTTTAAAAGTTGTATTACTGTCATGATTTCGATTCTTGTGTTCTCTATTCTGTTCCATTTTCAGATTGTCACTCTAAGAACGCAGAACAACGTGACAAACTGCGTCTATCGGCTGGAATTTAACAACGTTGCATTCTACTGTGAAACGGACATACTGCCGGTACCATCTGGCGTCTTTTTTGAGGTGTTTCCATTCAACCTCGTGTTCGACAGAGGCATGCATGTGATTAATGTTGGAAAGGGAATGTCAAACGCGGTGGCAAACCTGAAGGGAAAACTGGTAAATGAAGTCTTTGTCCTCAGCCGGCCACTGATCGAGTTCTCTTGGGATGCTGTAAGTACAATTTTATCCATGAAGGTATCTCCGGTAGCTTTTGGTAAAGCCTTAAAAATAGATTGGAGAATAATCTTAGAGTATATGAGGTATATTAACCCTATTTCTTTCGTTAAATCCAATCGAAAACCTGCTTATGAATGAAAAAAATAATTTTGGACTACTTTTCGCCATAATGCTGTGTTTCGCTAGTACAGCTAAAAAAGGAACGATGTATGGTGCACAGGAAATTTTTGATCTTAGATAGACTTGACCCGACATATAATTGAAATGGAAAACGGAGGACATTGCAGCTTTTGGTACTTTTTACATGCTATGGTGAAGGGATTCACAAATTTGCCCCATCAGAAATCTAAGGGCATTTGTGATCATGGATTTGTGCAAAGAAATCCTCGGCCAACTTTCCTGTGATTCTACATCAGAAAGTGAAGCCATGATTTAAAAAGTATCACCAAGCGCTAAAACAAGAAAGGTCCTGGAGCATGGTGAAATTTAGGGCTAGGGCTTGGTGATATAGGGCGAAGTACCTGGGGCCATTATTTAGTCATCTACCAACATCATTCGTTTATTTTTCGAATTAAGTATTGTTTTCGTGACTGTCAGTAAATCAGTAATATGAGATGTATTCACTCAATTTAGTTTAAGGTGATAAAGGACTGGTAGAAGAAGAATTTTCCTACAATGATATGAGTTGAGCTGACGTTTCCATTGAATTTCACACA